TGGCATCATTGAGACAGTCAACATGACCGAGAGCACTGACGCCTTGAAACACAACACTCCACACCACCGCGTAGTGAAGCCTGACAACACGACAACGAAGATTCGAGTTCTTTATGATGCGTCAGCCGAGACGAAATCCAACAACCACAGCCTGAATGATTGCCTCGAAAGCGGGCCAAGCTTGGTACCAGATCTGTGTGGAATTCTGGTCATTTCAGAGGGTTTCAGGTGTTGGGTGGTTCACAAGCCAATTAAATCACCTTTCCAAGATTCCGTTTGAAATTCTCTGCCCTCCGTCGAGGAGACCCAAGTTTTCAGAAGTGAACAAGTGCGAGAAGTGTATACATGTGTGTGCATGCAGTGGCGTAGGAAGATGTTTTAGTTTGGGGGGGGGGGACTTCCAGCCACTGACCTGCTCATATACTGGTGTGGTCGTACCGGTAATCCTTCTACAGAAAGTTGTAATTGTTCAAGTATTTCACTCTTCATCACTGGACATGTGAAAACCTAGTAGTAGTACTCGAATCTGGACAAGAACAATGAATGTCCTGTGCATGTATGTTGAATACAAGAGATTGCATGCAGCGACCACTGGATAAGTAGCTCTGACTGACAGTCTGGTCAATGTCCAAGGAGAAATTTATCTGAAGGCAAAATGTATCCGTAATGGTGAATTAGAGGCAACCATACAGCAAAACTTACTGTTAAGGACAGTGGGATAAGTCTACTTTCAAGAATCCCCGATTTTCAGCTATTGCAAACAAGAACCCCGGACTCATCATATGTCAGTGATAAGTAGCATGTTCCGTTCATAACGAATTTTCCACGCTAGTGTAGATGACAAATGTGACCCTGGTGATAATTAATCGTCTAGAGGTCATTGAATGATAGGTGCAAGCCTCGGGCTCAGTTTCTCCATGAACATGTTGAAATGTATGGCCACTGATCAGTCGTACCTTGCTCTCTGACAAGTAACAGTAAGTCTTGAAGTAAGTCTCAAAAACTTCTTCTGGAGAGTGGTTTTCTCCAGAAATCTGCGATACAGCAATGAGAAGAACTGACTCTGACTGAAGCAAAGTACTGCCGCCTTTCCCTTTTCGAAGAAAACCGCTCACGGAAAACAACCCTTTTAAATTTGCAGCTACGGTTCAAAGACGACCAAGCAAGGATCTAGCGATCATGCTTCACGCCGGTGGCACTCGCTTCTACTTGAAGTATTCTAGATGTCATCCAGTGTAGACTTTCTGAGCCTAGTGCCTGTCAAGTACACTGTACAGTGCTGGGCAAAGAGAAATCCAACATCATGAATAAAATAGCGTTGCTGTGCACTACACTACACTTCACTACACTACACTACACTACACTACACTACACTACACTACACTACACTACACATACTGGTCTGTGCACTACACTGCCCTAACACTACACATATTCAAATTATTTAAATAATTATGTAGGTCCGAACCACGTTCGACCAGTCGCCATTTTATTTGCGTCAATTTTTGTTGTCCGCCAGTACGTACATTGGTATGGTAGCGCTGAAAACTGCGCAAACCCCGTGCGCAGTGTGTTCGCTGATATCCCTACTACACATACTGGTCTGTTCACTACACTGCCCTAACACTACACATACTGGTCTGTGCACTACACTGCCCTAACACTACACATACTGGTCTGTGCACTACACTGCCCTAACACTACACATACTGGTCTGTGCACTGCACTGCCCTAACACTACACATACTGGTCTGTGCACTACACTGCCCTAGCACTACACATACTGGTCTGTGCACTACACTGCCCTAACACTACACATACTGGTCTGTGCACTACACTGCCCTAACACTACACATACTGGTCTGTGCACTACACTGCCCTAGCACTACACATACTGGTCTGTGCACTACACTGCCCTAACACTACACATACTGGTCTGTGCACTACACTGCCCTAACACTACACATACTGGTCTGTGCACTACACTGCCCTAACACTACACATACTGGTGTGTGCACTACACTGCCCTAACACTACACATACTGGTCTGTGCACTACACTGCCCTAACACTACACATACTGGTCTGTGCACTACACTGCCCTAACACTACACATACTGGTCTGTGCACTACACTGCCCTAACACTACACATACTGGTCTGTGCACTACACTGCCCTAACACTACACATACTGGTCTGTGCACTACACTGCCCTAACACTACACATACTGGTCTGTGCACTACACTGCCCTAACACTACACATACTGGTCTGTGCACTACACTGCCCTAACACTACACATACTGGTCTGTGCACTACACTGCCCTAACACTACACATACTGGTCTGTGCACTACACTGCCCTAACACTACACATACTGGTCTGTGCACTACACTGCCCTAACACTACACATACTGGTCTGTGCACCACACTGCCCTAACACTACACATACTGGTCTGTGCACTACACTGCCCTAACACTACACATACTGGTCTGTGCACTACACTGCCCTAACACTTCACATACTGGTCTGTGCACTACACTGCCCTAACACTACACATACTGGTCTGTGCACTACACTGCCCTAACACTACACATACTGGTCTGTGCACTACACTGCCCTAACACTACACATACTGGTCTGTGCACTACACTGCCCTAACACTACACATACTGGTCTGTACACTACACTGCCCTAACACTACACATACTGGTCTGTGCACTACACTGCCCTAACACTACACATACTGGTCTGTACACTACACTGCCCTAGCACTACACATACTGGTCTGTACACTACACTGCCCTAACACTACACATACTGGTCTGTACACTACACTGCCCTAACACTACACATACTGGTCTGTACACTACACTGCCCTAACACTACACATACTGGTCTGTGCACTACACTGCCCTAACACTACACATACTGGTCTGTGCACTACACTGCCCTAACACTACACATACTGGTCTGTGCACTACACTACCCTAACACTACACATACTGGTCTGTGCACTACACTGCCCTAACACTACACATACTGGTCTGTGCACTACACTGCCCTAACACTACACATACTGGTCTGTGCACTACACTGCCCTAACACTACACATACTGGTCTGTGCACTACACTGCCCTAACACTACACATACTGGTCTGTACACTACACTGCCCTAACACTACACATACTGGTCTGTGCACTACACTGCCCTAACACTACACATACTGGTCTGTGCACTACACTGCCCTAACACTACACATACTGGTCTGTGCACTACACTGCCCTAACACTACACATACTGGTCTGTGCACTACACTGCCCTAACACTACACATACTGGTCTGTGCACTACACTGCCCTAACACTACACATACTGGTCTGTGTACTACACTGCCCTAACACTACACATACTGGTCTGTGCACTCGAACGCGACAATACTCTATTCATGAGGTTGGATTTCTCTGCGGGTCAGCACTGTACATGACAACAGAACCCACTGCAGGGTCAACTCTGACTACGATCGAGCTGTTTGCATGACTCGTACTGATTGATCTGCATGCTTCTCGCCTGCACGTGCAAACATGTTCGCTGAGTTTCGGCCCTACATCCGCCAAAAGGTTCGGGTAACCTGGCGCCGCCCTTGACCCCCCCCCACCCCCCCCACCCCTTGCCCCCCCCCCCCACTTCCCCGCATGTACATGTATGTGTATTTGTGTGTGTGTGTGTGCGTGCGTGCGTGCGTTTTGCGTGTGTGTGCCCCGCCCGAATCGCCCTACAGTGACTGATCGCCAGCACTTTGAAGCACTGCCTACCTCTCCCCTAACCTCTCTGACAGCACCTCCCTTCGCGGGGCGGCGTGGCCATTTCTGGCAGCTGTCAATAGTAGTAGTGTGTGTGTGTGTGTGTGTGTGTGTGTGTGTGTGTGTGTGTGTGTGTGTGTGTGTGTGTGTGTGTGTGTGTGTGTGTGTGTGTGTGTGTGTGTGTGTGCATGCATGCGTGTGTGTCTCATATGGTGCAGTTCTAAGTGCAGTCGATTTCCGATCGAGATGTGGCGGGTTCGATTCACAAAGACTATTGTCACACACGTCAATAGTAGTAGTGTGTGTGTGTGTGTGTGTGTGTGTGTGTGTATGTGTGTGTGTGTGTGTGTGTGTGTGTGTGTGTGTGTATGTGTGTGTGTGTGTGCCCCGCCCGAATTGACCTACAGTGACTGATCGCCAGCACTTTGAAGCACTGCCTACCTCTCCCCTAACCTCTCTGACAGCACCTCCCTTCGGGTAGCGGCGTGGCCATTTCTGGCAGCTGTCAATAGTAGTAGTAGTGTGTGTGTGTGTGTGCGTGTGTGTGTGTGTGTGTGTGTGTGTGTGTGTGTGTGTGTGTGTGTGCATACGTGCGTGTGTGTCTCATATGGTGTAGTTCTAAGTGCAGTCGATTTCCGATCGAGATGTGGCAGGTTCGATTCACGAAGACTATGGTCACACACGTCTTTCTTCTTTTTCTCAGACTCCTCTTGACTTTTCTTTCATTCTGCTGCGTGGTAACAACCAGTGCATGCCGGAGTATGCGGTGTGATGTTTGTGTGGGATAGAAATGAGGGAAAAAGATCAAAAGGTAGGGGATTCACCAGCCCAAAAAAGCCACTTTATATAGTTGTGTGGTGTAGACCAGGCTGAATAGCGGAGTTAAAATCTTCAGCCTTGCAAGCTATTGAATGGTGCAGTCCCAGTACAAGTTGCTATGGCTTCTGCTGTATGCAACGCTATCATGACATCCAGCGTCAAAAGGCCAAAAGGTCAAAAAGGCAAGTGTTTTTGTATCTGTGTGTATATGTGTGTGTATATGTGTGTGTGTGTGTGTGTGTGTGTCTGTGTGTACGTGTGTGTCTGTGTGTGTGTGTCTGTGTGTGTGTGCACGCGTGAGAGAGCATGCGTATGTCTGGGTATGAGCATGGGGTGTGTGTGGGTGTGTGATTGTGCCTATTTGCATGTCTACATGTAGGTGTTTGAGAAAGGAGGAAGGCTGTTAAACAAGTTTGGTACTAAAGGAAGTGGACCAGGACAGTTCAACGGGCCAATTGGTATTATCTCGTCCAACGGCAGATTGCTGGTTGTGGATAAGGACAATCACCGTATCCAGGTTAGGCTATTGTTCTAGGAGGATTTCCATGGCATAATGTGTGTATGTGTGTGTGTGTGTGTTTGTGTGTTTGTGTGTGTGTGTGTGTTTGTGTACGTTTGTGTGTTTATGTGGGTGAGTTTATGTGCCTTTTGTGTGTGTGTGTTTGTGTGTTTGTGTGTGTGTGTGTGTTTGTGTACGTTTGTGTGTTTATGTGGGTGAGTTTATGTGCCTTTTGTGTGTGTATAGATTCTTGGTTGGAGAAAAGCAATTCAGCACAAATCCCAGAAGCCATTCAGTTTCGAGTCTTTCGACTAGGCCTTTGGTAACATTACTTTTCACGTCGAATACAATGGTGATAAACAAGGTAGCAAGCATGTCCTTATAGCCAGCACTTATAGCCAGCACTTTGGTGGTCAGAACATTAACAAAATAGCATTTTAAAAGATAGCGATTGTGACCCCAACTACATGTTTACCAGTCAGAGCATTGACCAAATAGCACTTTAAGAGATAGCGCTAGTAGCACCAAAACACCTAGTGAAATACTTAATTTACTAGTATCAAACAACAATAGGAACCAGAGTACTACAATGGGAAAACGGTGACAACTTTTGCACATACTTCTTGTGCACACCCAGTTCAAATATACACCTGGCACTCATTGCAAACAGGGCACTCCTTGTCACTTTACCACTCAAGCACGTGTGCTCAACAAATCTCACCTTGCTGTTCTGGAGGCAGTGTACATTGCAAAGCTGAAGCCTGAACTGTGTGTGCGATAGAAGCATGGGCAAAAGTTCTCACTGTTTTGACATTGTACTACTGTGGTTGTTTGATACTAGTAATATTCATTGTAGCACTATTTAGTTGATACCACTAGATCTGTCTTTTTAAGTACTAATTGGTCAATACTCTGACCGCCAAATATAAGGTGCAGTGGCGGGTTTAGGTGGGGTGGGGGGGGGGGGGCGCACGCCCTCTTCCCCCCCCCTCCCCACCCTCCTCCCCCTCCCCAAAAAAAGTTCGACGTTGGTTTGAAATAAACACTAGACTGCTGCATGCACGGGCGGTGGACTCTACACGGTGGGAAGCAGCTTCCAAAAGCAGCTGCACTGACCGTTGGTGTGTAGCGGTGCACTGCAGATGAAACGATCCACTCTGCACCATGTCTACACTTTTGTTCAGATTCCAGGACATGCTCGATGCTCGATGCGTCTTGTAAGAGGTGTGCAGAATGCAGCACTACCCAAGCGGGACTAAAAAACACGGCTTGGAATTGTCAAGCGCCTCCTTCTGGAACATTGTACAACGGTGTTTTGAGGATGATCCCCTCGGGATTCGAATCATGAATTGGTTGACTTGAAGACTTTTCTGCGAAGTTTCAGCAACATCCATGGACTAAAAGAAGCCAAGCTCTGGCCTGCAGAGCCTGGATGGATTTTTGCAGAGCGTTCTTGCGACGGCGTAATTCCTGTTCCAACAGGAAACCGTGGGAGTGATCAAGTCATTGCAAGTCCAATAGATGACTTGCACAAAGATTGCCTGGGTTCGAGATGGGGCTAGTGGACCTTCTGACTCTCACTTCCCGACCTTTGACTTTGAGTTTGAGACTTTTGCTTTTTGCCTGACGAACGCTGAGCTAGTTTTTTGGCTAGAGTTGTTTTGATTTGGCTTGCATCGTCATGCGGAAGCGCTGCTGCGCTTCTCACTGCACCAGCAGACGAGATATGGAACTGAGGCTCCTATTCCATATGTTCCTTTCCGAACCGGGAATGCAGAAAAATTGATTCATGCCATATCGAGATGAACTTAATGAGGTGATTGATGTAGTGTACAAGTAACATGACAGATGATTGTACAATAATTATGTAGTAACTAAGCATGAGATACTGTAGTCTGTAACCTAGTGTACGTCTGGAAGAAATACCTGTCATGTAATAATTTGTAATCGGTTGGATAGCTAGCAGTTGATGTATATGGCATACTTCCGTATATGGTGCAACTCTCGCACCCCGTATGCACCCGCCTAGAGCTCCTGCTTCCATATGCGCTCCTACACACTTTCCTTGGTGTTCGTACACACTTCCCTTTTGTGTTCACACACTGCTTGGAATGTTGTTCTTCGTTTGTTGTCCTCCTTGCTAGTTGTGAATAAACTCTATCTGACACCACATGGCGCAGTGAACATTTCGTCCTGTAGTTTCCATTCTGTCCACACCAACCTAGTTTGTAGTGTTTTACCTGGCCCAGTAGCAGTGTAGCACTCCGTTGGATTTGGATTAGATTACCCTGCAGTTAGTTTGTTAGTTCGTTTTAGATAGGAGTGTTGTTCAATTTATTTCGTAGGACGTAGTCGTGTGAGCTGTCACAACGAGCATTTGTGATCAGCATGGCGAGCAGCGATCCCGCAGCACCTTCTGGTAATGGAGTGCCTGACGTCGCCACGCTCCTGCAGCTCCTGACAACTCAGGCACAGGCGTCTGCACTGCGAGATCAACAGTTTCAGACCCTGATGGAAAGTATGTCCAACCAGACCAGTACTAGTTCTACAACCCCACCCGCACCCAAGTCTGTGTCCGCAGAACGACCAGTATTGTTATCTACTGCCACAATGGCAGAATTTACCGCTTGGGAGGAGGCCTGGCGTGACTATGCGCAATGCCAACGTCTCGCCAGCCACGACCGCCATACACGTATGTCAGCGTTCCGCCAGGCCCTAGATGAGGACCTGCGCCGTTTCATCCGAGAAGGCATTATCGCCTTCCCGGAAGACGCTGACATTGCTGATGCCATCCCGGTCCTCCAGCAGTACATCCGGCGGCAGAGGAACCCGCTGCTCGACCGAATCGAATTTTACAAGAGACGGCAGCAGCGTGGGGAATCATTTGACTCCTTTTATACGGCCCTCCGTGAACTGTTTCACGCGTGTGACTTTTCTGGGTGTTCAGTATGTCATAACTGCAACCAGGCGATGTGCAACCCCTGCAAGGCAGGCCTGTTGAAATTCAACAACGACATACTACGTGACCGCATTGTGACAGGCGTATTTGAGGACGACGTGCGTCACAAGCTGCTGGCCCTCCAGAACTTGGATCTGGAGGCAACCGTGAAGCTCTGCCGTGCTGAAGAAGCAGCCTGCCAAACTTCCTCTGGCATTCCCTCCAGTGGTCACGTGCACGCAGCTAAGAAATCATCTTATAAACAGCAGAAGGCGAGCCGGCCCGCACCCATGAAGTCTACACCAGACAAGCCCGCAGGTGACAAGTGTCCCAGCTGTGGTCGCAGTCCCCACACCAAAGGCACATGTCCTGCGAAGTCACGCAAATGTAACGGATGTCGTGTCGGACATTTCCAGTCCATGTGCCCGCACAAAGGCAAACCAACAGCATCCGGCAAAGTCGGCCAACTTAAGTTGCAACGTGCCTCTGTTCGACATGGTCTAGAACTCAGTGTCCACACGCAGCTCAACAGAGAACCGACCGCCGAAGCCATGACATGGATTCCAGACACCGGCAGCGATGTTGACGCCATTGGGCCAGCACATCTTTCCCAGCTAGGTGGCTTCCCTGAGAACCTTGCCGTCTATTCCGACACTGTTTCAGCAGCAAACGGCACCTCTCTGGTTAGCCTGGGAAAGATTTCTGCCACGCTCTCCATTGGCTCAGCCCAGCACACCACGGTACTTCATGTGTATGAAGACCTCGACGAGGCGCTGCTGTCATGCCAATCTCTCCGTGCTCTTGGCATTCTCCCTGAGTCCTGGCCGCGGATCTCCCGTGTGAATTCCGAACCCAGTAGTGCAGACATTGCTGATGTTAAGGCTCAGCTGATGCAAGAGTTTGCTGATGTATTCGACGACTCCCAATTGAAGCCCATGGCTGGTCCTCCCATGGAGATAAAGCTTCAATCTGACGCCACACCAACTCGTGTTAATGGTGCCCGCGCAATCCCATTCGCATTCCGAGACCAGATAAAATCTCAACTGGATGATATGGTGATCAATGGAATTATTGAGCCAGTCACTGAACCGTCAGACTGGTGCCACCCGATCGTCATCGCAGATAAGAAGTCTTCTAACGAGAAGCGCCTCACCGTTGATTTGCGTAAACTCAACGACCAAGTCTGCCGACCAACACACCCAGCTCGTACTCCGCGTGACGCCGTGACAGCTATTGGTAAAGCCCGTTTCTTCACCACACTCGACGCTCGTCATGGGTACTGGCAAATACCCCTGTCCGACGACTCGAAGCCGCTCACGACATTCATCACGCCCTGGGGTCGGTATCGCTATTGCCGCAACCCTCAAGGTCTGTCCTCAGCAGGTGACGAATTCAACTGCCGCACAGACGCAGCATTTGACCGCCTCGCTAACTTCGTCAAAGTCGTTGATGACGGCCTAGTACATGACGTCGATTTTCAAGACCACGTCACCCACGTTCGTGACGTCCTTCACCGTGCCCGCGAGCATCACATTACGCTCAGCCCACACAAGTTTGTATTCGGCGCTAGTGAAGTACAGTTCTGCGGATTCGTCATCAATGCTGATGGTTATGCCGTTGCTGGTAGCAAGACATCTGCCGTTCGCCAGTTCGAAGTGCCCTGCAACCGCACTGACCTCCGCTCATTCTTCGGTTTGGTCAACCAATGCAGCGACTTCACACCGCGCACTGCTGAGCTAAGTGAGCCGCTTCGCCCACTCCTGAAAACCAGCAATGAGTTCGCCTGGGATCAGCAGCACACCATAGCATTCGAAGCCGTCAAAGCCATCCTGACTGAGTCACCAGTGTTAGCTTTCTTCCAACCTGGCAAGCCTGTCCGTCTCGAGACTGATGCATCTGTGAAGAATGGCCTTGGATTTGCCCTATGGCAACAGCATGATGACCAGCAATGGCACCTCATACAGTGTGGAAGTCGTTTCTTATCTGACGCTGAAACAAGGTACGCTGTAATCGAGCTCGAGTGCCTCGCAGTCGTCTGGGCAGTGCACAAGTGCCGCTTGTATCTATCTGGTGCACAGTT